TCCTAGTGGTCTCTTACATTCTGGCTTTCCTACAAATATCCCATGTGCATTCCTCTTTTCTCCCATTCGTGCTATCAAGTTTCACGCTCATATAGAACCGAAGGCAAAATTATAGTTTTGTACGTATATTCTAATTTTTATGTTTTTAGACAAAAGACGAGAAGACAAAATATTCTGATCTGAATGGTAGCAAGCATTACCCGAGTTCAATATCCACTTAATTTCCTCCTGAATCAGGTTTTGATTTGTTTTAGTCGCTCCCAAATATCTGAACTGTTAGCTACCTTTATGTCATGATTTTGCCCTGCATTCTGCTGACGAGACAGCAACATATACTTAGTTTTCTCTGTGTTTACTTCTACACCAACCTCCTTACTAGGGTCAATTAAAGCCTATGTGTTTTCTTTACGGTATCTATATTATAAACTAGTAATGTAACTAAACAACTAGTGTAAGCAGACATGGAAGACTATTTACGAGTATATGTTATAATTACAGTAATCTTGAAATTGTTTTAGTTATTTGTAGTTACACTTTTAAGTAGCCTGTAAAAGCAATTGGGTCACGCGGTAGCGTAGTTGGTTGAGGCGCTATGCTACAAGCCGGAAGTTCGTGGGTTCAAGTCCCGATGAGGTTATTGGATATTTTTCAGTTGACCTAATCCTTTCAGCCGGACTAGGCCCTGGGGTTCACTCAGCCTCTAACAGAAATGAGTACCAGGATTTAATTAAATCATTTTCCTGGGGAGTAAAGCGAGGCCGGCGCGTAAGGCTGACAACCTTACCGCCATTTTTGAGCCGATTGTCTAGATAGGGTGGGACCCTCAATGTCTCACAACCCTATGGGCTTTACTTTTTTTTTTTTTACTTTTAAAACCAATTACCAATTCGAACACCGATTTTAGTCACTGATACAGCTAACAGTACGTACAGATATATTTTATTTTATATGGATATTAATATCACTTTAATATCGTAATATACTTACATAGATGTGTCAGTTATCACATTTTAATTTTATTTTATGTGATGGACTTAAACCATGATATCCATAATGTCTCTCTCTTAATTTTATTGGCATAAGATCCTTGTCTTTTCTTCTACCCCGCATGTTGAACTGTGGCATACTCGCCTTATGCCGTAAAAATTTCGTAATACTTCTGTTGTTAAGGAAAACATTGAAAATATTCTAAAAAATATGATTATATGAATGCTTATCATTTATCAAGTGCACCATAATAATTATGCAATGAAAAACATTAAAATTATTTCAATGTATCTGTTGCTGCAGTGGTACATTACAGGCTTGGTAATGAACATCCAGGGATGTGTTTCTTCATGTATCATGTCGGTAGAAGCTAATCGATTAATATATTATCATAAGTGTCACTGATTTAAACAGACTGCTGTGTAATTTAGAATCAGAACTGATGAATAAACAGAGTAAATAAATGTAAGATTTGAGGCTTTCACGGCGGTGACTATGAAGAAAGCAGTCTTCTGGGATTTGGCACCGTGTATATGTGGTGTTAACCGACGTTTCGGAGGAACGTATCGCCCCCATCTTCAGGGTAGAAGAAAAAGTATAAGAAATCTGCAAGCGACAACA